ATCCTGTTGATGTCTCCCTTTGCCCACACATTATATTTCCTTAATGATTATCCAAGCTAAATAAACTTCACATCTCAAGCTCTTCTACAAACACTCTTAACCTTTCTGGAAGTCAAAATCTCACTGAGAATCCAACCAAACCCCTGGCTTTCTCTGTTTTCTACAATTTCAAGGAATTCACGTATGCCCTGGGTCCCATGAGCATTAAAAACCTCTGTCTCAGTGGCTGCCTCCTTTCCTTTCAGCACTGATTTTGAGAAACACTTAGCAACCTACTTCTATCTATAAGAATTATGTAACCTATAGCAAACTTCAAGAATTTGGAAGAATTCCTTTTGAAGGGGTGGCCCATCAACCCCACTGATAGTAAGACTTTGGGAGGAGGTCCTCTCTGATGGATTCAAGAGGTTCAGCCAGTCTGACACACAGCAGCCATGAAGGGCACCCCCTAGTCCCAAATTATAATTCCTGCTCTCAGTGACATCCCTCGCACATGTACCAATGTGACATTGTGGGGGCTGCTGAGACTCATTCTGTTACAACTGGCATCCGCTGCCATAGGCAAGTCATCACAAGAACCTGACCTTGGTTAGCACATTTTACACTTGAGCGCTGTTCTTCCGGGTGACACCAAGAGGGGAGCAGGGAGGCAGGAAGACAGACAGAGACAGTGCCAGGGCATACGGTCAGGCAGTGCCCCTACCCCACAGGCTGCAGAAGCTGCCTCACCCAACACAGAGGGACTAAGCCCACAAAGCAAATTTTTGAGCTGCATTGAGAACCTCATAAAAAACAATGCTATTTCTAACCTCCTGCACCATGAAAAAATACGTATGCCAGCAAGCAACCCAAAATCTCTGAAAGGTTTATTCTTATACTCTTCCCCACGCCCCCCACCCAAACCTCCCCCACAACATTTTTAGGTGGAAAATTTGGTAGCTTTTTAGCAGTTTGACACTACTGTGCTATGAAGCTGCTAGCATGTTTGATTTTAAAAGCAAAAAGTAAAGGTGTTTTTCTAACACAACTCTGAATGTCTACTTAGTAACAAGATAATATAGTCTAATAATAGAAGGACAGAAACCAAAAAATAGGCTGAGGAAAATTCCCAAGTTTCCAGGACACAGACAGAAATGACAAAAGTAACAAGTTTCTCTTCTCAGCCTCTAAAAGTGGTGTGCCTGCCTGCTAGCCTTCCCCTTTGCATTGCTGTTTTTTCCTAATCCAAACATGGCACAACATAGCATTCTTGGTGCCCTTGCTGAGTTTCAATTTTTCACAGTGCATTCTAACCTTAAAGTTGAAGAATGAGGGAAGGCCGTGAGATAGAGCTCAGATCGGAGTCCCCTGACTCTATGTAGACATGGGGCGGGTGAATAAGGCCTGGAGAACTCTTCTGGTTGGCTCTCAGAAGCCAAGGGGGACCTCAAAATAGTCTACCTATGATCTGTCCCAGGATCCCACCCACTGGGAACCTTGGAAGGTCAGAGAGGCACTGACCTACAACTTCCTGACTTCTCACACAGATGGGAAGTCTTAGTATAGCCTCTGAATGATCTTCACCTAACTGCAAGACAGAGTGAAAATCCTTCTTCAACTTAGGGAACTCCCAGCACAATATGGTTATTTATTTATAGCACAGCTCTGAATGTTTGAACACATTTTCATGGTTTAATCTGTTTTATTGCACACTACCAAGGACACATCCAGAAAAAATAAGCATTACTTAGGACATCAGGGACCTACACTCAAAGGTGATGCTTCTCCAAGCACTACTGACCCTCTGATTTACCTTGAAAGTTTAAATGTAATGCAAGTACATTCCTCAGGTCAGTAATGCAATGCCTATATCTATGTTTATTTTCAATTGCTGGAGCATCTCCCTACAGGGACCACAGGTCTTACACTGAAAGACTTTCAAATGGCTCCCTGGTCCTCATCACCCACCTCAAATCCCATAAGGACCTTGAAGAAAACCAAAAAAGAGGTGGAATTTCCCCCACCTATACCTTATCTGTGTTGAGAGCCAACCAGATCTAAGTTTGAGGTTTCGTACTCTCATGAAGAAGATAGGAAATGGTGTGAAAGCTCGAATAATGACTTCTTCACCTACATTCCAGCAACTTGGTACTCAGTTCAGTGACCAGCACCAGCACTCCATGACACCTTGCAAGCTCTAGCAAGATGTTTCATGAAATTCCTTAGCAAACCCCCTTAGTCCCAAAATAGGACAGAGATTCATGCCTCTACTCTCTCTCTTCCTCTGATCCTCTCAAGGCCATTGGATAAGACCTAGCATTTGGATGGGGAAAGATAACTGAAGTTTTACTGAGCTCCTCCTGGGCATCAAATGCTGAATTAGGCACCTTCATAAGATAAATATTATCACTATTATTCCATTTAAATATGAGAAAAGCTGAGATTCAGAGAGAGATAGTACTTACCAGAATAACAAAGAGAATAAAAGTGGTAAAGACAGAATTTGAGGTTAAGGTGTGTTTCTGACTCCACCTTACAAATGTGACATGGCGAAAAGGCATCTGTCTTCAGATTTATTGAGGAGGTCGAAATCTTAAAATATATGTAATAACCTAAACATGGGGACCCAGCTCCATTTTATAGCCAACTCTAAAACAACCCACTGTGCTCAGTAAGATAGGCACATTCTGCAGTTAATGCAAAAATCCAGACCTCATTGGGCCTTCCCACCCAAGCAAACAGAGCAGAGTAATAGTGCTACCTCTCTATCTTATCAGCATTTAGGAATGTCTCCTAGTCCAGCTATAAGCTCTAAGGGACAAGACTTTAACAGCGAAAATATAAATTCCAGGATAGCCAGCTCTAAGAACCTATTATAGATGTACTAAAGTTCTTACAACACCTCAGAATCCAAGTATGAGCTTGAAAATGACCTGATATGCACAAAGCAACATGCAGTTCTGCAGGCAGGCATCTGTTATTTAACTGCTTTCATGTTCAGAAGGACCCATGTAGCTTTGTATTGAAAACCCATATACAGTAACATAGTTAAGGAAAAGTTTCCCATTACCTATTTTGAGAGTTCCTTAAAATAGCTGACAGAAGGCTATAACCCCATATATGGGAGAAAATCAGGAACTTATGTAATTTGCAAGAATTATTTCTACTTTTGTTGAAATTTTGTAAATCAAGCTGCACAGTCCTTATGGGCATAGTCCAGCAGTGTTTTCAGTTACTCAGTAAAATTCTACTTAAAGACAGTTTTAATTTTTGGTGGGTAAAGTCAAAGAGGACTGCCTCTGAGATGACAAAGGAGAGACTAAACTGGGCCCTACTCTCTTCAGCCCTGTTAAAGATGAGCTGTCACTGCCACTTTAAGTTTCCGGTGGGAATGCCAAATTATGGAAGAGAAATAGCCTAACTCATCAACATTTGCCAAGTCAGGGAAGATAAAGTATTCTAAACATCTTGCTGTCCTGTCAAGTAATAAAGAACCACATGAATGAGAAGTATCTCATCAGTCACTAAACATCTGTGAGGCACACAGCCTGAGTGCTCCTTGTGAAAGCTGACCATCCATCCTGTGAGAGCCCATCAAATGGGCTCCAAGTTTGCAGATATCTGATAGTGAAAACCACTCAGCAAACACATGAGCTGCACACATGCAGCAATACAAAGGAATTGTACCCAACACTGATGTAGAGTGTGCTTTGTTACATAATGTGTGCTTCTTAACACCTACGATTTTAGGAAGGTTCTAAACTGTGAAAAGTCTACTTAAATTCAACTTTCTGTGTGCCTCAATGAGGAAGCACATTAAATCCTCCTGATTCTCTAATTGCCTCACCTATTTCCAACAGCAACCATAAATAAAAAGGCTAAATGAGCCTCCAGGAGGGTTCTTCATCACTTCATTTGTCAAAACTTGACAAAAGTTTTATTGAACTCCTCCTATCTACCAGGAAGTATTTTGGGCCCTAGAGAAAAAAAGTAAGTGGGAGAGTGGGGGCAATTATTAACCTTAAAAAGCTTACATTTTAGTAAGGGACTGAGCACAAACAATGAATTATGCCTGGCACATTAAAAATTTAGGAAAAAGTTGCACCTTATATTTTATAGACTTTCTTACTTTCCTGAAGACTCTCATAAATTTCATTTGATGCTCCCCACTGCCTGGCAATTGGGTGGACAGGAATCACTAAAATCACTTAAGAGTTGACAAAACAGAGGCACAGAGAAGTGACAAGGCCTGCCTCAAGTGAAGAGCTGGTGGTGGTCAGACTGAGGCAGAGCATGATGATCCTGTCACCCTCCTGGCACCTTCACTGACTGTCCCCCATTGGGGCTGGCTCCGCTTCAGGCTGCAAGTCTGAGAATGTCCAGAGATAACCAAAACACATAGCTGTCTTCTAAGCTTCTACTTCCAGAAACCCTAAGGCAGGGCCACTTACATCCCACCCTCCAAAAAGAAACACAGGGACACAACCCTAAAACCAAATGCAGCAAATTAGGAGGTCAATCCCCACTTCATGGTACAGACCATGCATGCTACCAATACAAAGAAGAAACTGCTTGCTCACTTGATGGCACAATAGCTGAGAAAGGGAAAGGAACTGATATTTATTTAGTGTGTGCTATATGCCAAGTGCTGTATTAAGCTTGGTGGTTCATTTCTCATGGCAACCATATTATTACTTCCATTTTATGAGGTAAACCAAGCTAAACAAAGAATTTATAATGAAAAAATAAAGAATCCCTTTCTCACTTCAGGATCCCAATCTTAAATATTTTTAAGTATCTAAGCATTAAATGCTCAGGCTCAGCAATTTTACAGTTGACTAGTAAAACTATTTTTCTTCAGGTATTTTAGTAAAATACCCAGAGAAAAAAACCAAATTAGTGGTTTTTAAACATAGAATTAGGTACAACTTTCCAGAGAACACCATCTCAGAACAGTTAGTGCTGTGACAAGCCTTGCTTCACAAACATTATCAAAAAGAAGAGTCTTAAGTTCTACTTACCTTTAAGCTATATGAAAACTGATGTCAGTTCTTGAAATGGCCTTACAAGAGACAGCAGTTTGATGTTACAAATGTAGAGCTTGAGCTGCTAAAAAGAAAAATAAAGAATTTCAGTGAACCATTTCTTGGTTTCACTTAGTATAGCATCCCCTTCTCCAAATTCCAAAAATTATTTGAGGGCTGTCACAATTAAAAGCACAATTACAAAAATGAATAAAAGTACAAAAATAAGCATTAAATAAAAAAGAAAAGGAAGAGGGAATTAGAGTAAAATATATGGGGTAATGGATGTGACCAAACTGGGGACAAAATCTCTCTGTCAGCTCTCGAGCACCCTCAGGGGCACTGAGTTCTCATTTTCCAGTCAATGGATCCACACTTGTTCCTCCAAACACATAGGCTTTTTCTTCAACAAGTGGCCACAAACAAATAATGGACAATATTCTCATTGGATTTTTGAGGTTTTTTAAATTGTAAACATGCTAAGATACTCTGGTTTCTCTTTATTTTTTTAAATTTTATTTTAATTTATTTTTTCAAATACATTTGTCTCTGCCTACCCCCCACCACTTTCCCTTGCCCCCCCCCTCCCTCCCTCAGCTCTTCCCCTTTGGTTTTGTCCATGAGTCCTTGCTATATGTTCCTTGACTTTCCCCTTCCCTTCCTTCCCCCCCCCCCCCCGCTCCTTCCTTCCCTCTTGTCTCTGTTGATTTCTTTTCCTTTCAGTGTTGGGTATCAGCCTGTGAACTGAATGGTTTCTCTTTGGAACGAACAAATCTTTCGCCTTTTTAAACATGCTAAGTACAGCCGTGAAAAGACCGTTTCCTTTCTTAATCCAAATTATCTAGCAACCACTCAAATTCACCAGTCCTTAACTGTAAGGTGAGGCAGGTCCAGCCACACCTTTTTCCTCCCATGAAATAAATGTTTAATTTTGTGGGAGCAACACTGGTCCCTACTTAGTGAAGATTAGCTAGGGTGATAACATCCATGCTTCTGTCTACATGGCTGTCTTTACACCTACCCTCCACTCTGTTGGTAGAACATTCTCCATTTAGTGCTCTAGACAGGTCACAATCTGCCACCTGCATTCTCATCCTGACTTGATGAGTATGCTCTATGCATCAAGCCATTCCAGGTCGCATCAGGTGACCACCTTATGACTTACAAAGTAGTTTCAGGTAAACTCAGTCAGCTAGCTCTGCCTCAGATACCCGAAGCACCTCTCAGCTCCAGACCTACCAATGGGTAGGATTACACTCCTGTCCAAGGCTGAATAAGCCTCCATCTGTCTAGCTTGTGTACTGCAGTGTGCTCTCCAGGAGACTTGTCCCTCAAAACATGCTTCTGCCACATGTCACTCCAAAATAATCAGCCAATGCTAAGACATCCAGGTTTTTTTAAAAAATGACTATGTCTAGCCAGAGGACACTGTGAGATTCCTGTGAAGGTCCACCAAAACACATGAGCAAAACACCTTGCTATTTGTATGTAACTCCTTCCTATCAATATTGTGAACCTACAGACATTACTTTTTCCTTCTATTTTCCACCTACTGAGAGAAGAAAACCACCCACTTCTGATTTTCCAGATGACAGATTTTATTCTTCAACTGGGAGTGCTCTCATCAGTCTTCCTAGGATTTGAATGCTCAGATTTCTTGGGAACAAAGGTCAGTGGAATAACCATAAAGGTACCATAGTGAGCAGAATTCAAAGGTGACCCCTTTGTATATAATCCCCTACACTTGAGTGCAGGAAGAATCTGTGACCTGCTTCTAACCAACAGAATATGGCAAATGTAATGAGATGTCACTCCCTTGGTCAGTCTATGCTATATAAGACTCCATCTCAATAGATTAGAGCATAAGAAACTCACTTTCTGACTTTAAACAGGTAAGGTGCCATGTCATGAAAGAGCCTGTGAGGGGCCATGCAGCAAGGAACTGCAGGGGTCTCTGAGATCCGAGAGCTGACCGCCTATGAGAAAACAGGGACATCAGTCCTACAGCTACCAGGAAATTCATTCTGCTCACAACTTGAATGAGCTTAGAAATGGATTCTTCCCATTCACACCTCCAGATGAGAACATAAATGGGCCAACACATTGATTGCAGCTTTCTGAGATCCAGAACTGAGAACTAGCTAAGTGATGCCCAAACTTGCAACCCATGGAAACTGAGATAATACAAGGGTGTTCATTTAAGCTACTAAGTGTATGGTAATTTGTTATGCAGCAATAGAAAATAAATTTAACTCGGTAATTAATTAAATATGGAGATATGAAATACATATGTATTAAATGCACATATAACTGTACATCAGAACAGCCCTCCCCTGACCTCATCCATCCATAAGTGAAAATTCATTTATCTTACTTGACTATGAGCAACTTGTGGGCAAGAACCACATCACCATCACCCTGGTATCCCTGAGATTTTGCAGAGTATGTGGCACACAGGAGGTTCTTAACTTTTTTTTAAATAAGCTAAATTAAAAGCATTATGATTTGTCAATCGCTAGTTACTGCAATAAAGTCAAAGCAATGGAACTCATACAAGCATTCAGAACAGAGCTTAAAACCTCAAAATTAATCACAAAATAGGTGGAAGACACTTAGCCTCACACTCTACCCCCAAATAATGGATACAAAATTTTTTTGTAGTGATTATTTCATTTTGCCTATGAATCTGAGTCAGTGCTTAGAAATGTTGCTCAGTAGTTTTGTTTTGTTTTTGCCAAAAATCCCTGCCACTTCTCTGGCATTTAGGTATCTAACAGCTGAAGGTTAAAAACAAAAAATTCCCTAAGAAATTTTTAAGTAAGAATTTGTGATTCAATCTTTGTTTTCCATTCATAAAAATAATGCATTCCCAATAAAATGAAAAAACCTATAGAGGCCAAATTACCCAGCTCTAAATCTAAAACAAAATGCTAATCCAACTTTCTGAAAACCTATTTAAAAAGTTCTTTAAAATATTTTAATTTTTAAACTGATGAATTTTAGTTCTTTTAAGCAAGATTTCATTTAATCTGTGTAAAATAAAAATAAAATGTATATATATGTTTAATAAAATTGTTTCCGCTATTCTTAAAAAAAGTTATTTTTTATTTCAAATAAGACTGCGACTCAAGTTGTATTTATTTTATTTAGACTTTTTAAAGACCTGGTTTACTAAAAGGGATATTTTAAAATATTCAAATAAGTGAAATTATTTAAGAGAGTATAAAATTAAAACTTCATTCATTACAAAAACCTATCATGCTCTCCTGAAACCTATATTCAGGGTCTTATTATATATTCTCACTCCCTCATTAATCACTCAATAAACCTGAATGCTATCTCCAAGGTTTATCTGTCCCCTGGTGCTCAGTCTCTCAGACAGCAGTTCTCACACTTAAGCCAAGAAAAACTAAAACACCAGTTCCGTGGCATATGAGGCAGAGAATTTGAATAAACTTATCTCTTCTTAGCACAATTTTCATTCCCTTGGGCTAGCACTGTGTGTGAAAATAGCCAATGACCCACAGCAGGGAACTGGAGGGGTCACTCATTCCCCTCCCCACAGAGGAAGAAAGATGCCCAGATGATGGACCCCACCCAGTTCCCTTCCCCCTCAGTTCTAATAAGTGCATGCCTTTCCCATAATCTCACAAAACACAGCTCAACACAAAGTCCAATGCTTCAAAAAAAGAAGACTGATTATTAATGTTATGTCCCACAAAGGAAATTAAGCTTTCAGAAGAATAGTTAACTTGACAGAAACAGACAGTGAAGAGAACTAATAAGCACAGGGACTCACAGAAGGTGCTGGCAGAGTTTCTCTTATACATACCATACCCTGTTACTCAAAGCACTTGAGGAATCTACACATGGTTTTCCAAAGTGATAAAGTACAGTCCTGTAGGGCTGATGATCGCATTAGACCCAAACCATCTCCTCAATGCCATGTTCAGTGGATGGAGTTCGGGAACCATGAACTAACTGATGAGAAGCAGAGCAAGAGGCAAAGTAGATGTCTTCCTCAAAAGTACAAGGTAGCGAGGACCTACCTTGCACCAATAAGGGAATACATGAATGGCAGAAGACTCAAAAATCACAAGACAAGTGAGGCACATTTATTCTTCGCAACATTCTCACTTTCTCTTTAAAATAAAGGAAGGCATTTGTTCTGGACAAAGGCTAAAAGAGAAACATGGCCACATGCTTCATTCCTTTCTCTGAAACAGGACAGGCTCTAGCTGATAACTAGGTCCTGCGGAATCATTTAAAACACAATGATCCCTGGAGACAAGAGGAGAGAGCCATTTCATAGAAATTGTAAACTGGGATAGGGAAAAACACAAAGTAGTAGGTAATGTACTTTAGTGTTACAGAAGGATTATGGAAAAGAGAAAAGAGAAGTCTCCTTCCAGAACGATTTTTGCTTTACAACATTTTTCCTTAACAAACATCTCAACAGTTCAACCAAGATTTAGTAAAATGCATGGATTTTTGCATCAGATATATTTTCTTTCTTTTTTTTTAATAGTTCAAATACATTTGTCTCCACCTTCCCACCACCACCTTCCCCTGCCCCCTACACCCACCTCCCTCCCGCAATCCTTCCCCACTTTGGCTTTGACCATGGTCTTTTATACATGTTCCTTGACTTGACCCTTCCCTTTCCTTTCCCCCCTCCCCATCCCCCCTCCCTCCTTCCTCTTGACTCTGTTGGTTTCTTTTTTCTTTCAATGTAGCTGGTTATACTTTCCTTGCTTGTTTGTGTTGTTGGTTAGGTTCCACTTATAGGTAAGATCATATGGTGTTTGTCTTTCGCCCCCTGGCTTATTTCACTTAGCATAATACTCTCTAGCTCCATCCATGCTGTTGTGAAGGGTAGTAGCTCTTTCTTTCTTTCTGCTGTGTAGTATTCCATTGTGTAAATGTACCATAGTTTTTTGATCCACTCATTTGCTAATGTGCATTTAGGTTGCTTCCAACATTTGGCAATTGTAAATTGTGCAGCTATGAACATTGGGGTGCGTAGGTTCTTTTGAATTGGTGTTTTGGGGTTCACAGGGTATAATTCCAGCAGTGGAATTGCTG